TTCATTTTAATGATTGCCACCATCGTCAATCAACAATTGCATTTTTGATTTCTTTTTGAAAACTACCAGATCAATTGCTTGGTATGTAGGTATCCTGAGTGGATCGTTGTCAGATTTGTTCATTTCAAAATGATATCTTTAATTTTATAATTTTTTGCAAATATTTTTGCCATTCTTGGTAAAAAATAATATTTTGAACTTCTTGAAAACTGCCAGCCCAATTGCTTGTTACTTGGTATGTTGGTACCTTGGGGTGACTTTTGTCAGATTTGTTCATTTTATGACGATAACTTTAACCTTTATTTTTGGCAGATATTTTTGTAATTTTTGGTTAAAAATGTTATTTTCGATGACTTCTTGAAAACTACCTGCTCAATTGCTTTAATACTTGGTATGAAGGTACCTGGGGTGGACCTTTGTCAGATTTGTATTGTATTGTATTGTATTGTATTGTATTGTATTGTATTTGTTCCTTTCATGATGATAATATTAATTCTCAATTTTTGTCAAATATTTTTGTTAATTTTGGTAAAAAAAAGCTACTCGTATTTTCAACTTCTTCTTAAGAAGTAACAGCCCGATCTCTTTGATATGTTATATTTAATTACCTTGTCCATTTCTTACCGATATCACCAATTCTTTTTTTTTTTGGCCAATATTTTTGTAATTTCTGATAAACCCTACCGGGCGGATTGCTTGGATATTTTTTTTGTGAACAATTTGTTCTCGACTTGGCTACCACAGTGTTAATGTAGGACAGTGGAGCTATTTTGACCGCAGACCTTTTTTTTTTTATTTTTATCAAATCATGATTGCAGCATTTGAGTTGCTGAAATTTAAGTTAAAATAGAATAGATTTTTAGTACAATTATGAGTTTCCTTATCATGTGATGTTATTCAACCATTTTAAATTTAGGAATTGTATTTTTAGTTCATACCTTAAAGGACCATGTAATTATTTTTGCAAAGCATGAAATGGGAGTCTTTGCAGTAACCCTCTATGCATGTCTGTCTGTATGTCTGTCTGTTCAACTGACATCTCAAGCAATGCTTATCAGATCTTAAAGTAACTTGGTACATAGGTGTTTTGGGGTAAGCCACATACCTGATAACTTTAGGGTTGAATAATAATTGCCTACTTTTCATCAAATAGACTTTGCTAAAATGTAGGTGCTTTTGGATAAACTGACTACAAACTATAGAGATTTGTTTTGTTTTCATTTACCTAAAATTTTCTTTATAATAAACTGTGGATCACCTTGCTTTCTCATTGTGCATTCGAGCAGAACTTGTTTAAAAGGTTAATCTTAAATGTAAATATTTCCTATTTCTTTCAATTTATGTGCTTTCAATACCCACAGTACATGATGGGAGTTCTTTCTAAGCTTTCTTTGATTTTTAAATGTACTGTAAAATACTTTATTTTAGCTGGAATTAATTTTCGCTGAAAAGATTTTTTGGGTATTTTGTATTAAATTTATTTTCACTGATTGCTGACAAGTTAAATGTAAATATAGGAAAATGGTTATATTCGCTGGACTTTATTTTCACT